CCCTTCTCTTTAATCATCTCTCCGCAACTGCTTTATTCCTATTACCACCATCACAATGGAAGTGGTAGTGGTGGCGGCGACGGTGGTGGTGGTTGCGGTGATACAATGGTAGTGGTGATGACAAAGATGGTGATGATGATGGTGGTGGTGGCACAATAGTAGTGGTGGAGGCTGTGGCGACGACAATGATAGTGGTGGTGGTGGTGGCAGCGGTGGCAGCGACAATGGTAATAGTAGCAATGACACAATGTTGGTGGTGACAATGACATAACGGTAATGGTGATGATGGCGACACAATAGTAATGATGGTGGTGGTGGTGACAACAATGACGGTGATGGTGGCACAACGATAGCGATGGTGGTGGTGGCAGTGGCACAATGAAGGTGGTGGTAGTGGCGGCGACGATGGTGGTGGTGGTGGTGGCAGCGGCGATGACACAATGGTATTGAGGATATATTTGACAATTATGAGAAATTGATAAAATCCTTACTGATTAACATTTTCAGCATTAAGTGATAAGTAGGTGACTTGCTACTTAAAATTTTAGCCTATTTTTAAGAAGTGCTTAAAATATTAAGTAGTATGAGTTTTAGGTTATCAAACAAGTTTAATTTATTAAGTGCTTAAAATATTCAGTTTTAAGCTTTAAGTGGTGTTATCAAACAGCCCCTAAGTGTAGGCCTTAATCTAATTATGACCTGTAATGGGAGAGCCCATTAGATTCATTATAAATAGTAGGTTAGATCCCCTCTCCATTTCATAACCCTAATTTGACTTGTCCCATTGAGAGCCGCATTGTTTTGAAGAAGGAAAAGAAGACTTTACCTTTCCGTGAAAGAAATCTGGAGATCGAGTATCATGACTTATACAAGTATGTTCTAAACCTTATAATTTAGGTGTTCTAAATTTTATATACGAATTATTAAGAATTTCTTACACTGTTTTTATGCTATTAACTATTCTGTTGATTCTTCTCCAAACATGCATCACCGATTTACAAATATCATTAACCACATAATTTAGTGAGTGACGCCAAATTTTTTTATGGATTGCTTCTTTCTCCTATTTCGCCATCAAAGTGCCTATGGTACCAATTCATATTTGGTCACTCGAAGTTCATGTAGAGGCACCTGTTGAGATCTGTCATCTTGGCAAGAACTCCATTTAAAATTGGAAACTTGCATGTTTTTAATATTTTCAATACTCATGTTTTTCGAAACGACACTTTATTTCACTCTTTTCATTAATACTTTAAGCACGATTGCTAAAATAATATTGTGTTTCAATTGGGAAAATATTTGAATAAAATATAAACCAAAAGTCATGGTACATATTACAGAGAATGAATACAGTATCACCCATGTGATAGCCATGTCTATAGGCCAATTCAAAGGAATCTCTAAAGAGCATGTAATTTGGTTGGCCAAGGAGTTTGAGCTTTGGAAAGATATCATGTAGAACCCACTAAGATGTCGAGTGAACACTTAGGACTGTCATATAGGGCCCGTTGTTTTCAAGATGTGTAGATATCTTCCTCTATCTTTATTAATTGTTTAGATCTCTTCCCTTGGACAATCTCTTTCTCAAGGCTGGCCCTAGGCCTAGGCCACGTAGTCAGCCGCCTAAGGCCCCCAATTTTTGCAAAAATTTGAAGCCTCCTGTTAAGAGTTTTAGTTATATGACTAAGGAAGGATAATGTCTCTCTCCCTCTCTCGTCTGTGAAGGAATTAAGCAAATCACAGATTTAACGCCAGATTTTATTTTATTTTTGGTCAGGATTTAACGCTAGATTTTATTTTATTTTATTTTGTTAACAATATCAGTGACAATTGCTTCGGCGGGAAGAAATTTTTCAAATTTTAAATTAATAAAATCTTATCTCTGATCAATTATATCACAAGAAAAATTAAATAGATTAGCAAATATCTTTTTAAATGAATATCTTTTAATAATTATTGCCTATTAAGAGAGTCTATTTTCATATTCTTGCTTAGGGCCTCCAGATTTGTTGGGCCGCCCTTACTCTTTCTCTGTGCCCAAAGCCTTAAGGAGGTAGCCCCTCTCTCTCCTCTCCTCCTCCATCTTCCGCACCCTCTATGGTCGCTCTGCCAATGACGTGCATGAATCCATTTAACTCTCTACTTGTACATTTCATATTTCAGTACCATTAAATTGTAGAGAATGCGAAGCTCATACAAACAATTTTTTTAAGGATTTTAAAAAATGTTCTATTTGCTCCCTCTTAATACGCCAACTTTTAACACCTCAATCTCGTGTAATAGAAATACCATCTAATGTGACATTTTAGAAATATGAGAGGGACGAAAATGTCAATTTAGCTCCATGTAGAAGAGGGGTAGAAAATAGCGGGACCATTAATTTACTTTATATGTGCGCATGCGCATTGTATAGATAATAGATTGAACCCAAGGGGGTATCTCAAGTTATAATAGGACAGAGTTATAAACTCAGACGTCTTAAGTTTGAATTTTGTCAATCTCTTGGGACCAGAGAGATTTATCCTCATGAATATCTTAGTCTTGGCGTAGATGGTCTGTCTTTGACCGGATTGGGGAAGGGATTAGTCAAAGTGCGCGTAAGCTAACCTGGACACTTTTAAATCAAAAAAAAAAAAAAGATAATAGATTGAGTAGCGACAATCTATGAATAACTTGTTGCATTTTTAAAATTTCAATGTGTCTGCGAAGTGAAAATGTGATTTTTCTTAGTTTTTCTCTTTTGATGTCCTCTCCTATTATGAACTTAATTTCACTTTACCTCTTGAACTATTGAATTTTTTATATTGTCCCCTTAATGATATGAATTATTTCACATTTTTCTAATTACAAATATTTGCTATCTTTTTGGAAGAAAATTACCATGTAACGGGACAAAATATAAAAAATTACAAAGTTCGAAGGGAAAAATGAAAAAAACTTTTCGTTAAATATATAAGTAACGTTAAGAATTAGGGTTATGTGAAACTAATCACATAGTTGAGGGCGCAATGCGAAAAAACATGATAATTAAGAGGATAATGTGAAAAAATGGTCATAGTTAAGGGGATCAAAGTATGATTTGCCCATATGTAGTTTAGTATAGTTAACTGTAATGTCGACTTATCTCTATATCAGGAATGTATATTTTATAATAATGATGTTTCATTGTTTATTAGGAAATATTAATGAGCAAATCGTATACTAGGTATGGTATAATGCATAATGAATGAATAATTATGAACTATAGGGAGTGAAGAGATACTAGACTTTAAGATTAGGAAAGACAATTTAATAAAGGTTAGACAACATTATTACAGGAATAGAACAAGAAGTGCACCAACACTCATTATAAATGAATGGATAAGAGAGTATTTTTCTTTGGTCACGGTACATACAGGGAAAAGAATTGATGAGACTCGAATTTTACATTTGTAGGTAAGGTGAGAAAAATACCTACCACTAAGTCATTCCTCTTTTTTGAAGAGAAACAAGGTGAGAGAGTGACCCCGATAGTAAGGGTCCACTCTCATTCACAAGTGGTTATTAGTTCAAATCTCATCTTCTCCCCCAATTCATTAAAAAATTGAGGGAGAGAGAGTCACAAGCCTGAGAAAAGACGTTGGAAAGGTGTAATTCACACACTATATAAGGCAGTCCAATGTACAAAGTTTTAAGGGAGAATTACATCCAGACTCCTTGAAATTTGTCATTTAATCATTCAAGTCCCTTGACATTTGAAATATTATATATAAACCCCTTGAGGTTTATACGCGCATAACACTTAGACACTTGTTATAAATATATCAGTTAATTAGTTATACTTAGACTCCTTAAAGTTTGTAGGTATATAATACTTAGACTCTTTAAGTTTAAAATATTATATTTAGACAAAAAATACTCCAATCAAATATAGAATATCAAATATTTTAAATTTTACAACCAAAATTCATGTTCTATTGTATCATTTATTCAAATAAAATTAAAAATTAAAAATTTAATTTTTTCTTAAAAAATCGTAATTAGTATACAATTATATTATCTATTGGAATAAAACTAAAAAAATCAAATAAGGGGTCTAAGTCATTCATAATAGAACATGAATTTTACATTCAAAATTTATATTCTATTATGTCATTTATTGAAATAAAATCAAATATAAAAGTCTAATTTTTTTAAAAAAATTATAGTATATAATTATATTATCTATTAGAATAAAACTAAAAAATTAAATAAGGGGTCAAACTGTAATAGACACAATATTTTTTAACTTTTATTGGGGTAGTTTGGTATTTTAATTTGATTGTTTAAACGACCAAATTAAATTATAATAGATAATATAATTGTATTCTAATTACGATTTTTGTAAGAAAAAAATTGAATTTTTATTTTTGATTTTATTTCAATAAATAATACAATAGAACATGGATTTGAATTGTAAAATTTAAAATATTTGATATTTGATATTTAATTACAATATTTTTTGTCCAAGTATATTATTTTAAATTTAAGGGGTTTAAGTATTATATACCTACAAACTTCATAAAGGTTTAAGTATAATTTATTAACTAATATATTTGTAACAGGGTCTAAGTGTTACGCGCGTACAAATCTCGGAGGATCTGTGTGTAATATTTCAAATATCAAGGGTCTGAGTGATTAAGTGACAAACTTCAAGAAATCTAAGTGTAATTCTCCTAAGTTTTAATTACTGTTGAATCTGAGAAGAATTAAATATAGTTAACTTTATTCTTATGTCAAAAAAGACTGTATCCTTTACGCAAATCTATGACTCTCAAGTAACCATATGGTTATGCCAAGACCCGACCTCAGAAATCCATAAACATTCACAGTAGATAGTTTATCCAAAGTATGCCACATGCTCAATACATGACTTATATTAACAAACAAGGAAAGGAATATAGTCAATAAATTTTCCCAACTCTACGTATACATTCATAGAGAGCAAAACATACTATAGAGAGAGAGAGAGAGAGGACCATCTAGTTGTGACCTGTCCTTATTTCAAGTAGTAGAGACACATCATGCATGGTAGGCCGAGTTTTGGGATCAGCACACAAACATAATTGTGAAAGCTTGAGAATAGCATTCAGATCATCTTCAATCTTTTGATTCACAGGAAATGAAAGACGATGGTCCAACACATCCTCTAGTTTTATGCCTTGCCCAAGTGATGATGAGTTCATACTAGAAATCACTTCTCCTGGATGTGTTCCCATCAAAACTTCAAGCACCAGAACACCAAAGCTATATACATCACATTTTTCTGTCACAGCCATGGTGTAAGAAAACTCTGCCACAGAAAT